AAAAAAAAAAAAAAAAAAAAAAAAGATTAAAAAAAGAGCCCACCTACATTAGACACAAGATAGGTTTTTTTTATGAATTGGATTTTCATTTATTAAGTATATTTAAATGCTTAAGAAGAATATTCCACTTCCAAGAATATTCCAGTTTATTTTTGGAATACTACCATTCCAATAATAAAAAATCAAATGTACGCTTAGGTTAAGAGGAATTCTTTCCCTCCCAAGGCGCACGTTGATTTTCAACCATTTATTTTTACTCAAGTAACAATATACAATACTCACATGGAATTTTATGCAACTCATTCATAAACTTTTCCTTCAGCTTAGAAAAGCCATCCTCCTTTCCTTCCCCAGGACTGGCTGGCTCTGTGGCATTATTTGGTAGAACAGTGGCAGCAGTGGTGATTGGCGGGGCTGCCAGGGCCTCATGATGACTCTCGCTCACCATTTTAGGTTCAGGTGAAACTGTGAGGGGAGGGAAGCAAAAAAAAGAACAATTCAAAATGGTTTAACTGACCCCACATCAGATCTATTCTAGAGATGAAAAAACATCAGAGGGCACATCTGCTCACTGGGTAAATAGCGGGTCATTAGCATATTACTTTATGTTGGTTCATGAAATATTTATGGAACCACAGAGAAGGTTCTTCCCCAGAAGGTAAGACCAGACATAGTTACTGAAAGCATTTTCTCCTAACAATCAAATGAAACTGTCAAATCTATTAGTTACTTATACAGGCAATTACTTGCTATATAGATTTAACTTTTTAACCCATATCCTACTGAAATGTCCATGAAACAATTGCTGACAACATACACGCTCTATACTCTATTTTGCGTTTTCGAAAAGGAAAGAAGAGACCAAATATTTATATTGGAAGTGTTGATAAATTATAAAAGCACATTCAAAATGTCAGTAAATTTTAAAATGGTTGTAAAGAATACTATTGTAACACTGATACTCTAAGATTCCTGAACGTTATACAGAAATTAGTTCTTGAATCTCATTTATTGATAGTATGCTTTCTGCCCAGTTATTTTTTTTTTGACATTTACTGTAGATAATACTATGATCAATAATTCACTTGTCTTGCTGGGTGAAATTTTTTTTTTTAATTCTTTATTGGAGTATAATTGCTTTACAATGGTGTGTTAGTTTCTGCTTTATAACAAAGTGAATCAGTTATACATATACATATGTTCCCATATCTCTTCCCTCTTGCATCTCCCTCCCTCCCACCCTCCCTATCCCACCCCTCTAGGTGGTCACAAAGCACCGAGTTGATCTCCCTGTGCTATGCGGCTGCTTCCCACTAGCTATCTATTTTACGTTTGGTAGTGTATATATGTCCGTGCCATTCTCTCACTTTGTCCCAGCTTACCCTGAATTTTTGAAGCCACTGTAAATGTGGCATGATTGACTATACAGACCAAGGTGCTGATGATAAAACATGACTTTAATTATTTCAGTTTATTTAGTTTGATTATTGAATTATATAATTAATAATATAAATTATTAAAGTTATTCAATTATTTAAAATGTTATCTTCAAAATATTAAAAAAAATGAATCCTTAAGGTAGTCAGTGAAAAAATCTTAGCCTTGAATACAGAAAACAGTTCTAGTTTTCTTCACTAGCTAAATGAAGTTTGACAAGGCATTAAACTTCTTAATTTATACATCTTTTGAAATATGAAGAATCAAAACCTGCCCTGCCTAGATTTTTCTTAGTACGTGTGAAGTGCTGTATAAATGTAAGGGAGGTCTTCTAAAGGGGTACAAATGAAGTCATATTCTACAATCTAAACGTATTCTGGACTTAAATACTTTTACTGTGTGATGTAAGTTTTCAGACCGTGCTGGTGAGAGTGGACATGATTTGGGGCAGAAATAGATGAATACAAATAGGCCTGGGCCTAACTTCACAGTCTCAGCAGGAAAGTTGATGGACCCATAAAGCCCTTCTGAGTTGCAAAGAAATGGAAATAACGAGCAAGCAGATAAAGGATTTTTATAGAATTCAAACCTTCTGTGCATTAGTTACGCCTACTTACATATTTAGTGAAAGTAGAGTAATCTCAAATGTATGGGATTTATTAAAATCTTAATCAAAATCTAGAGATTTGGGGTCTCCTGAAAGGAGATCAAGGATGAGGCTGAGATACATAGATAATCAAATTTTATAATAGATCTCTTTTCAAAGCTTTGAATTTTTCAATAGTAGCCACTAATACAATCCTAAGGGGTAGAATTAGACAGATAGGGGTTCAGGGCTTCTCTGTTCTTGAGTTTCTTCGTTTGTAAAAGGAGAGTAATCATACAAAGTATGTAAGGTTTTAATCCATGCAAAGAATTTAGCACAATGTCTGGCATGCAAGTTTGTTCCTTCTGTTGATTAACTGATCAATCAATTGATTGATCTATCCCTCCCTAATAGCGTTTGGCAGCTCAGACTTTTCCAGATTGTGAAAACATTTTATTTTTTCTAACTCAGGGTCACTTTCCAGAAGCTTTCCCTGATTTTCTGATTCTGTTTAGCTTTGGCTCTTGTCTCCCTGCAAAAATCTGGAGTAGTGTTTGCACAACCGAGGTGAAGCTATTGATATTGATGATGCCTTCACTCGTATTTCATGTGACTTAGCAAGACTACAGTTACACACTCACAAACACATACGTATGCATAAAATATCTGTGTGTATTAAAAAATGAATTTGTTCCTCTGCTATGAGAATCACCAGATGTGATTATCATTACTTATCTCCACAGGATAGTTGAGGATATTTGAGGAATTATGGTTTGCTGTGGGATTTAAAGGAAATGACTGTGCTAAATAGAATAGCTAAATACAACAGTGTCGTCATTAAATTATAGGTATATTGTCTGTTTCAGCTCAATTTCTGTCATGTTCTGGAAGTGGGATATCATTGCTGGGATGAGCCTGACGTTCGGCTGCTCCCTCCAACGGGCTACACAGTTGTTTATAGCTTTTGTGCACGGAGATGTTTGGGTCCTTTCTCTTGGATTGTTAAATATTTTCATATTTCCCCAGTTTATTTTGGAATCTATATAAAACATTTGTATATATAAGTTGAATGATCTAAAAGGCTTTGGGAAAAATGAGGATTTTATTAAACAGAGTCAACATTTACAAAAGGCACTTGAAGCTTACGTAGTATTTTTGTTGTTGTTGTGAAGGAAGCAAAGAATGTTTCTATAATTTCCAGAAAGAATCCTCTTCAGACATAAGGTACAGCTTGCAAGGTGTTTTACCAAAAAAGGTAAAATCTATAAACTTGGAACTTACTAGCCAATGATATTATCCCTACCATTTCTGATTGTTTTAAAAATCAAGAAAAGATTATGTAAGAAATATATAGACAGTGCTTCTTTTACTTAGTGTATACCACTGTGAAATTAAAAGTCTTTCACAAATTATAAAGATATAATGGGCAACTAAGGATCTAATATACTGACAAAGAAAGACCAATAGCTGAATTTATTTTCATTCCTTTATATTTTGAGAGATAGTGTTTGTAAATAACAAAACTAAGAACAGTTACATGGCTCTCGAAAATGCATATTTATGGAAATAAGATGCTTATCAAGAAGCATCATTTTGCAGGTGGAAAAACTAGCTTATTATTCAGTCCTGACTAATGTGATGACTTTATACTCTCTTATGTACTTTAGTGCAGGTGGCATTGTTTGTTTATTTAGTAAAATATGTTCTACTCAAGTCTTGATAAAAAACAGCCAACAGTTATTGAGGATCTGCTAAGTGGCTGAGATATATGAAATCACAGAGTTCTCACACCATTCCCAGGAGATAAGTATAACTAGCACCCATTTTACAGGTGAGGAGACTAAGGCATACAGAAGTTATGCAATTGGTTCAAAGATAGGTAGTGGTAATTAGTGGAGTTGAGATTTGAACCTAGGTGTCCTAGCTACTAGTATAAGGGACTTGTATGCTGTGAGACTAAAATCTAATAAAATAGTGGGTTTTTTGAAGACGTTTTGGACTATGACCCTTAGTAAGAAGTACATTGTGTATTGTGCTCCAGTGTACACAGTCTCCCCCTATATGTTAAATATGGAACACATTTCACATAAAGAAACTTGCCCTTACTATGTGTGAAATATTCTGATACATTCTATTGTATTCTGTTCTGTTTTAGTAAAAAATTCTAGTTATATTTATTAGTTTCACAAACAACTATTGGTTTGTGACCTACAGTTTGGAAAATCACTATGCTAAGGGACATGTTAAGATACAATAACATTAAATGAGGCTAAGAAAAACTAAAGATGCCATTTGTTAAGAACCTACTATGTGCCAAAATGCTGGCATTGATATTTAAGTATAATATCCTCAATTCTCATTACAACCCTGAAAAGTAACTTATCATATTTTACAGGGGAAAAAAATGGTTGTGGAGAGGTTAAGTGATTTGTTCTACACAGATTTAGCCTGATCCATAGTTCCTCCCACTAGTCTATTCCAGTAATAACATTTAAGTATTATGAAACAATTAAATCAGTACTGGAAAGGTGTTTATGATTTTCTTTTGAATTGGTTTACCAGTAAATAGAAAACACAAGTCATCTTACTAATAGGAAAGAGGCTGCTTAATTTTGAGGTATAGTCATTGAGTTTGTTCAAGTGGAATTTAACATCTTGAATATGCCAAGAGAAATATTATTGAATAGAAAAATAAATTCCCGCCTAGAAGAAGGTTGGGTACAAAGGACACAAGCAAGCGATTCTAAAAGAAAGAAATGCAAATCCCTCCTACCAAAAAAAAAATGTGTTTAATTTAACAAGTAGTCAAAAAACTGAAAGTTAATATATATTAATTGTAAATGAGGATAAATATAGATGCGAAGGTGAGGATACAAAAAACTTGGCAATGGGTAAAGACCATAGTTTTGAAAAATACTTTATCGAGGCCAAAGTAAGAGAACATGTTAAAAGCTGTAGAAGCACTCATTCTTTTTCTAGGAATTCACAGTAAAGAATTCATTTAGGGCTTCCCTGGTGGCGCAGTGGTTGAGAGTCCGCCTGCCGATGCAGGAGACGCGGGGTCGTGCCCCGGTCCGGGAGGATCCCACATGCCGCGGAGTGGCTGGGGCCGGGGGGCAAGGGTGGCGGGGCGGCGCGGGGCGGGAGAGGCCACAGCAGTGAGAGGCCCGCGTACCGCAAAAAAAAAAAAAAAAAAAAGAATTTATTTAATATAAGGATGTTTGTAGTAACTTATTTATAGTATTAGAAGACCAGAAACTACCTAACAGAGAGACTTAAATTATGGTAACCCATGAAATAATGTTATTAGAATTATCTTAAAGATAAATATTTACAAACCTGGAAATACATTAGAGTATTAGATGAAAATGCAAATTATGAAACATTATATAATGTATGTCCAATTTCTCTAGATAAGATCTTTT